TCCCTGAGATGTCAGTGCCCCTCCGCTCTATCGTCAACAAATTTGAGTAAACATGTGGAAAAAGCACAAACACTCCCGGTTTACCATAATTCTCTTTGTCCATGAGGGTTGGAGTGGTTTTGCGGTTTAAAGTTTGAGGATTGGGGTTAGGTGGTTGGAGGATTGGAATAAGGGTTTTGAGGGTTGGGGTCAGGTGGTTAGAGAACTGGGGTTGAGGTTAGAGGATTGAGTTAGAGGGTTGTACTCAGGTGGTTAGAGGATTGGGGTTTGATGTTTGAGGGTAGGTGGCTGAATGACTGGGTTTAGAGGGTTGGATTTAGATGCCTAGAGGTTTGGGGTTTGAGGATTGAGACTAGGTGTTTTGAGGATTGGGGTGTGATGTTTGAGGGTTGAGATTAGGTGGTTTAAGGATTGTGTTTAGAGGGTTGGGGTCAGGTGGTTAGAAGTTTGGGGTTTGAGTGTTGTGGTTAGGTGGTTAGAGGATAATGGTTAGAGGGTTGGAGTTAGGTGCCTAGAGGTTTGGGGTTTGAGGGTTGAGGTTAAGTGGTTAGAGGATTGGGGTTTGATGTTGAGGGTTGAGATTAGGTGGTTTAAAGATTGTGTTTAGAGGGTTGGGGTCAGGTGGTTTGGGCTGGGCTTGGAGGGTTGGACCTTGATGTTTGAGTGTGTTTGTCCTGAGACCCACCAAATAATTTATGAAGAGAAATATGACAAAATTCATTAAAAAGTCATGAAATCCTTAAGCTTTCAGTCTAGTTTTCCTCAATATTACTTGTTCTTTCAGTCAATAAGAGCAATAGCATTCTGTGACAAAGAATAAAACATGCTTAGGCCTACACTGTTACACACTGAACAAGAGTGTGAATTAGAAACATAAAATAATAATAATAATAATTTTATTTATATAGCACTTTTCATGCCGGTGGCAGCTCAAAGTGCTTTACAGACAGGTGATAAAACATAGTTATAGAAAAGATCATTAGTACTTAATTAGAATCAGAAGAAAATGCAGAAGATTAAATTACAAGATAAACACCACGAGTTTTAGTTAAATGCTAATTTAAAGGGATACGTTTTTAGGTGCTTCTTAAAAGTGAGCACTGAGCTTGACTATCTAATAAAAGGTGGTATTGAGTTCCACAGTTTAGAAACATAATAACTGAAAGAGGCCTCTCCATGTTTTCTGTATTTTACAGAGGGTATCTGTAGAAGGCCACTATCTGCAGATCTTAGATTGCGTGCCGGAACATAAACAGACAGACACTCTGTGATGTAAGCAGGTGCTAGGTTGTTTTGAGCTTTAAAGACTAGTAGCAGAACCTTGAAATCTATCCTGAATGATACAGGCAGCCAGTGCAGTTCTTTCAAAACGGGAGTGATGTGATCTCTCTTTTTTGTTTTTGTTAGGATGCGCGCTGCTGCATTTTGTACAAGTTGTAAGGGATGTGTAGTTTTCTTAGGAAGTCCAGCAAGAAGAGCATTACAGTAGTCAAGTCTGCTTGTAACAAATGCATGAACAAGTTTCTCTGCGTCGCTCTGAGATAGAAAAGGCCGAACTTTAGCGATATTTCTTAAATGATAAAAAGCTACTTTAGTGACCGAGTTTACATGTGGGGTAAAACAGAGCTCAGAGTCTAAGATCACACCCAGGTTTCATACTTCAGGTTTGGTAGATGAAGCTAAAGAACGAAGTTTCTCAAAAATCATTTTTCTCTGAATTTCTGTACCAACAATCAGTAATTCAGTTTTTTCATGATTTAATTGTGGAAAATTTTGCGACATCCACTGAGAAATATCTGACACACAGCTGGTTAGTATGTCTACAGAGTCTTGATCTTCAGAAGGAATAGTAATGTATAATGGGGTGTCGTCAGCATAGCTATGAAAATTTATACTATGTTTCCTAATAACATCAGCTAGAGGTAGCATGTACAAAGAGAAAAGCAAAGGCCCTAAGACTGAACCTTGGGGAACTCCACAAGAAACTGCAAATGACAACATTTGTTTGTTCTCTAATTAGATGTACTCAAATCAGCTCTACATTTCTCTAATATTTTTGTTGTCTTCTTAAATGTTTTATTTAACTGTATTGTTTTATCTTTATCTTTTGTGATTATTGTTGATTTAATGTGCCATTGTGTTTTAGTGGCATGGAATTTGGGGGTTTGGTGGTTGGGATTAAAGAGTGGGGGAGGACTGAGATTGGAATTAGATAGTTGGTATCAGAGGGTTAAATAGTTGGAGCTAGAGGGAGGACTGGGGCTTAGGCTAGGAGGGTTGGATTAGTATTAGGTGTATGGTAGTGTGGAATATCTGTAAGTAATATATGCAGTATGTTAGCATGGACTGTGTTTTTGTGTAATATGTTAGTGTGGAATATGTTGGTGTGAAATATATTAGTGTGGAACATATTAGCCATTCAAATGCTAGTATCAAATATATTTGTGTGGAATATGTCAATGTTGAATACATTAGTGTGAAATATATAAATGTGGAGTATGTTAGTGTGGAATACATTAGTATGGAATATGTTGATGTGGAATAACTTAGTGTGCAATATATTTTTGTGGAATATGCTGATTTGAGAGTATTAGCCTCAGTGCAGATTCAGTACAGTATGCTATCAGCTGCAAGTGTTGTATGTGACGTGGCTGTGTGTTATTGGCAGTATTTCTGTGAAGGTTATTCCTGGAGTGTGTGTGTTTGGCTGCTTGCTGTATAATTTTGCTGTCTGGGATGTTGAACACATTCCTCTTGTTCAGGAACTAAAACCACAAACATTTTTACCCTGTGTGATCCTGTGGTGAAACATGTGCAGAGAGTTCACATGGCCTGCTTTCTCCATCAAAACACACACACATACACACGCACACACACACACACACACACACACACACACACACACACACACACACTCATTGCTCCCAACATAGAGCACCACCTTAGAACAGCAAACACACATTTCAAAGCATTTAAGGGTGTCATTTGACATATTTTATGGTGCATTTCAGTGTGTTTTGCCATGTTTTAGGTTACATTTCGATGTATTTTAGGATGTGTTTTGCCATGTCTTTGGGCGCATTTCAGTGTGTTTTAGGATGTGTTTTGCCATGTCTTTGGGCGCATTTCAGTGTGTTTTAGGATGTGTTTTCCCATGTGTTTCATTGTGCCTTTCGGTGAGTTTTTGGGTGCTATTTGACAAGTTGTAGGGTGCATTTCAGCAAAATGAAACCCTCAGGGCCTTTCAGACCTTAAGAGAAGGTCTAATAATTTCTGGGAACTAACAAAATACATGTCTGTAATTTCTCAATTATTTTTTATTTAATAAAATGATATATTTAAACTTGTGTTTCATTGTAAAATGGTAAAATTCCTGAAACGCAGATGGGAAAATTGGTCAGTCAGGAGTTGTTTATAGTACCTAGATAAATAAGGCTAAGCAAGCTCTCCTACTAGTTAGGACTTTAGGAGGTTAAGAGAAGTCCTAACGCATTAGATTAACTATCAACATAATTACGAAGTGACAGAAGAATTAACCAATCACATTTTGGTTTCTAGTGGGTGCGACCAATTTTGTAAGAAAAAACTGCACCCGTCTTCTGATTTTGTAATGATGACTGTAACAATGAAACTTTAGTAAAATGATAGCTTAGCATAGCCTCATTGTGAACTCAAGTTATAGGCCAAGTTATAGGTCAAGCATTTTGTTTAATGGATATTGAAAGACATGTATTATCTGCTTTTCTGAGACAGATGCAGCTCACTCATGATTAAGTGTTAACAACGTGAGCAAAGTGATTTAGCATAGTAAGCATTTCTGCTCAGCTGGAGTATAAATTAAAAGAAAAGAGACTGAGAAGTGTAATATTATGAATTTGCTATCTTAATTTTTATATCCACTTTCAATTTTTTTTTTGTCTCATGTGATGTTAGTTAATAAATATAGCTTACACTTGCTAAGTGCTGGGTGTTACCATCTCATATGCTTTTAAAAATGTAGTTTGCATGACAACACAGTGCAGTTGAACTTCCTGTTGCCTGCTCTTGCTTTGAGACAGCCCCCAGCGACAACCAGTGACAAGTTGAAGGCTGCCTGAGCAATGCTGAGTGATTTTATCACCAGCTGTAACAAAGCAATGCACTGTAAAACCACGTCCACGTGAGCAGGTTTGGACAGGGTTTGGGCAAACAGCATGCCCTGTTACATTAGTTTGGCAGACAACATCTTATGTATTTAAATTTAATTTAAATTTAATATGAAAATTATTATTATTAAGTCTATTTTAAAACAAAATTGTTAGAAATGCTATAGTAAGGACATGCAGAAAATACTGAACATGACAACAAGATGTTTATTTTGCTTTTTTGGACAGATAGTCCTAAATTAGGTTTCCCAAACTGTAGTCCATGTACTCAGTGAGTAACGTATGTTTCAGTTAAAGTAAATTTGATTGGCTTTGAAAAAAGTTTGTAGCTCATTTGATCAGTGTTAAGATAGTATAGATATCTAGAGGAAAAAAATGTTTGTTCAACAGTATATATTGGATAATCTTTTGATTTAGCATTTATACAGAGCAGTTTTAATGGAAAAGATGTCATTTTTAATTTGGTAACTTATTTTTATATATGTGTAGATTGCAATCACAGGTATGGACATGAATAAAACCAGTAATTTAACCCAAAATATGCTTCACAAATTAGATTAGCTTAGTACAATTAGCAAACATTTTCCCTGTGATAATTGATTATGACACTACTAAACTTTTCTCTATGTGTTATGTTAAAAATGTATCCAACACAAATTTGTCAAGACCTAAATGTGCATGTAGCTTCAGAAACACCCAGGTGCAGGTCAGCTTTAGGCTTCAGTTTCATTCCTGTGCAGACCGCCAATGTGATAGCATATGTGATAATGTGTATGGTAATGTATGTATGTTGTAATGGGCATATAATAAAGTATGTGTGTGGTAATGGGTGTGTGTGGTGCAGTAACAGAAAGGTTATGAATGTGAACAGGATTTAATGGTGAAACAGTAAATGATGTGATTACACAAACAGCACTTAAAGAGCAATGCCAATGAAAATACAGAAAAATGACTAATCTTCTTTTGATAATTTTTGAGTGAAAACAAGGCAAATATCTTTTCAAGGGGTAGTATTAGATTTCACATGCTGTGATGTCAGCATAAACCATGGGCACATCTTAAAACTACTTAATATTCCTATTTCCTTTTCAGGCTATAACTGAACCATATACACTTGCTGATCTTTTGTGATAACTAGCTATCAATATGGCAGGTAAATGTATTGTTTAAGCATGTACATACCCCCTATTTTTTTAAGTATTTTATGCCTACCACTGGTGATTAGATTTTTTTGTTACAAGGAGGAGAATGTAATATCGCTCGGCAACACATTTTATGAAGGTGTCCTCTGAAAATCACTAAGCTAATTAGATAGGGTTTGCCAAGAGTCTTTTGATCAAACCTGATGCTGTCCACTTCATAGACTGCTTAGATTAGCATCAGATTATTTTGAATTTATCTAGCTGATATTGTCAGCTTACTTGCTAGTTCTGGTTATGTGCCTGCCTTGCTCTTTAAGCTAATGACTGTAGGTAGCTAGCTTAGCTACATAATATTTCTACCATGCTATTGGTAACTTAGGTAATATTAGCCTAAGATTATATCACAGCAACCAGAGACCATTAACTCAGAACAGTGAAGGACATGACAGCATTGGTGTTGCTCTTTAACTGATCTCAGTTCAGCAAAAAGATTAAGTAAATTGATACACAAAGAGTTTATACATTAACATATGATTGATATTGAGCTCTGAACTGCTTATGGTTCTAAAAAACAGTCAGACATCAGTATGTGTTTTCATACAGTTACAGAAAATACTGCTGAAGAAGTTGCTCAGTAACGGTAGTAGTTGCTTCTGGGCTGCCGACGGCCAAAGTATGTCTGATAAGCAGTTTGGTAACCATAGTGACTGGCCAAGACACGGCATGGAGAATAATCCTCACAAATCTCTGACCTCACCTCAGCTGGAGACTTTGCCCTGAGAGAGAGGGGGAGAAAGGTAGAGAGAGAGAAAGTGAGAGTTGAATTTAAACACCTCTTTATAGGGACAATCACATATCATCTCATAATCTCTGGTAAGTTTCCCACCAATTTGTAATATGCATGTTCCATCCTGAGCCTTGTGGTCACCAAACCCATTTAAACAGCTACCACATCCACTGCTCCCTGACCTAACAATGTCTTCATTTTCCAAATGGCTAGCTTTGTTGTACTAGGTAAAACTTTACACGAAGACTGGAACCTTTCAGATAATAAAGAAAAGCAAAATGTACAAAAGCATTGAACAAACAGGTGAAATAGGGGCTGAATCTTGGGGGCCACCTTCCTCAACCCTCTGATTGAGTTTCACACAATGTCTGTTTGTCCCTTGTACAATCCTCCACTGTCCAATTCAGATCTCCATTCATCAATTGCACAGGATCTGATGGCAGCCTTTGGGGGACCAAAAAACTCAGACCACTTTCACTCAGAGCTTTTTTCCCGTATGTACAACCACACATATAAACCCAATAACATGCAGACAAACCTTTAATGTCACAACTACAAACCTAATTCCAAAAAAGTTGGAACAGTAGGTAAAATGCAGATAAAAACAGAGAGCAGTTTTTATTTTACATGTATTTAATCAAAATGAGCACAAAGAAGAAATATTTGATATTTCACTTCATCAACTTTTTTGATTTTCATGAATATACACTAATTCCAATTTTGATGCCTGCAACACATTCCAAAAAAATTGGGCAGGGGCAATGTAAGTCTGTGTTTGTGAAAAGATCAAAAAATCTGTTTTGGAACTTTCCATAGGTAAATAGATAATTAACAGGTGATGCTGTCATAAATGGGCATAGAAGGAGCATTCATGAAACCCTTGACAGTAAACACATTTCATCGCTACATCTACAAATGCAAGTTTAGACAGCACTATCCAAGCCGGAAGCCATATATTAACAACCACCAAAAATGCCACCAACTTCTCTGGGCTAAAGCTCATCTGAGATGGACTGATGCAAAGTGGAAATGTGTGCTTTGATCTAACAAGTTCACTTTTCAAATTGTTTTCGGAAATAATGCATGTTGGGTTCTCCAAGCCAAAGAGAAAACGAACCATCCCGATTGTTGACTGAAGTTATATACACATTTTGGAGCAACATATGCTGCCATCTAGATGATATATTTTTCAGGGACATCCCTGCTTGTTTCAGCAAGGCAACATCAAGCCACATTCTGCATGTGTTACAGCAGCATGGCTTTGTAGCAAGAGAGTGCAGGTGCTAGATTGGCCTGCCTGCAGTACAGACCTGTCTCCTTTTGTAAACTTGTGGTGCATTATGAAGAACACTATACGGCAATGGAGAACTCAGACTGCTGAGCAGCTAAAGTGTTATAGCAATTAAGAATGAAAAAAATAACTCCCCTTTTACAACTATAGCAATTTGTGTCTCCTCAGTCCCCAGATGATTACTGAACGTTGATAAAAAGGAAAGGTAATGTAACATAGTAGTAAACATGCCCCTGTTCCAACTTTTCTAGAACACGTTGCAGTGTATATATACAAAAAATAATAAAGTTAATTGAAACATTAAATATCAAAAGATATTGCACATTTATAATTTTATTTATTTATAACATGTCCAATATATTTTCTATAACTTAAGCACACAAACGGAAATTGTGCTTGAAAATTTAAAGAAAAATTTAAATTTGTTCCCTGTAGAGGACGTGTTACTTATTTTCATTTAGAACATTTTACCGGAGGTGTTCAAACTTTTGCAAATGTTTGTAGGTTGTCTCATTGCAGAAATTTTTAAAATCAGTTTTTTAAACAATTGAATAATTCGTAAACAATTGAATCTTCAAGACAAGCAGTCTGAAGTTCCACAGAAGTTTGATTCACTGTACATTTCCATTCCCTTCCTATTACATTCTTAAAAAGAACATTAAGTAGGGCTGTCTCTATTACTCAATTAAAATCAATTATGCAATTCAAAATAAAATGCAATGATGAAAATGTACACTGTTGAAGAATTATATTAGCTTTTATTTAGGTATTTTAAGGAGTAATGTAGGAGGTATGTAGGAGTTCTGTACAATTTCTCATTAAGACTGGAATGGGATTCTATGGTGTTCTGTAATGCTTGTCCAACTTCACAACACTAGCTACCAAAAAAGACACATTTGTGAGCGGAGCCTGGATAGGTACAAAAGGATTGTTACTCACTAATATATTTAAAAGTAAAAGTATTATCATATAAAATACTCACAGAACAATGTAAACAGTGTATACCCACCTCTTCCTGTAGGTGCTAGGATGGCCGTATGAGGGATTCATGTAAGTATTCGCTCGGCGCTGGCTGATGAACACATCTGCCACACGTGCGCGCACACACACACACACACACACACAGTAAACGCATGAAAGCAGCTGGATTAACTGCTGAGTTGAATCAGGTGTGCTTGCACAAGAAAATCAACATATTTTGTAGTAATTCGACATTCCAGGATTAGGAGTTCTTTACTTGTGCTTAACAGTAACTAATCTTTACCTCACATACACACACAGGGCCGTTTTATAAATGCTAAGGGAATATAGATAAAACAATTATTAATAACAAATAGGGGAAAAAGAATTTTTAAACAACAAAATGACATTTTGTTGTAAAGTATATTTAAATAATGTGTGCGTCATGTCTGCTTTCTTGTTTCTTTCGAATCAAAGCAATTGATTATAAAATTTGCTCGTCCAGCTACTGCACTTCTGCTTGACCGAAAAACTCTCACAGATACTATCTCAGGCCAGACACCCAAGCACAAATTAAATGTTGGTCTGACCCACACTCATCTGTTATTTTTTTTCTCAGCCCTCCCATAATCTCTTATTCATTTTTGCCTTCACACAAGCCCAATTATTTTCTTGCCCGACAGTCATCAAACTGCTTGTACTCAATCAGGGCAGAACCCCAAATTCTAATCCAGAGCCATACTGACCCACTCACCTCTATGTGTAATTTGTTTGTCCCTTGTTCCTCCTTTATTCTCGCCCCCAACCAAGGCCTGTAATTTCCTTTGCATGACAGCCACCAAACTGCATGTACTCACTTAGGGCAGGTGCCCAAGTTCTAATCCATAGCCATACAGACCCGCACTCCTCTATGTGTTGTTTTTTTTCATCCCCCGTTCGTCCCATAGAGCCTCATTCATTTTCACCCCCAACAAAGCCCTAATCTTTCTTTTTCCCGACAGCCACCAAAATACACATGCTACATCAGGGCAGGTCCCTAAGCTCTGCAGTGCCCCAGTATGCGGTGATCATGTGACCTAACGCTGGAGGATTCAAATGATCGTGTGAGGGAGTTTCTGTTTTCTGCTCTGACATCGTGGCTGAGACCGCTGAAGATGAAAGACTTTAATGGTAAGTTATCTTAAAATGAAGTATAGCTTAATGTAACTCTGTACTGACTCTCTGTCCAGCTATTTTTAGTGTTAATAAAACTCTAAACTTGCTGTACTGTAATTTATATTACTAGTGCTGCTTCCAAGCCTCCAAGCTTAAAGTAAGCTATGTTTGCTAGATAGCCAGCTAGCACTAAGTTAGAAGTATGAAGGTTAACAATATTAACAATACTGAATTGCTAATGCTGAAAAATATCTCTTTGAGAATAATTTATGAATGTCAGTCTGAATTTAAATCTTCCCTCTCTCTCTATGCTGCTTGCTTTGCTATCCAGTGAACTCTTCAAAGCTTAGCCAGTTAGCTTTAGCTAAAGTAAGAGTGTCAGTTATATTTACTCAGCTACATGTACCTAAAAACTGTATAAATTTGCAATTCTTTGAGTTAAAATGACAGTTACTCAAATGGCTTGTATGTGTGAATAAAACAATCTACTTTTACTCAGCTCCACTTTGAAGTCTTATTGAAGTCTTAACTCCAATTTTAATTCTGTTGTTGTTGATTCAGCTCTTGGGCTGCCTTACTGTTGCTCACACCTATTACTGGAGTTTTAGCAATATATTGTGGACTAAAAGTATCTTAAAGAGAAAATAATACCTATCAACTAATACGTGAATGGAAAGCCAGCTAATTAGAAAATGAGAAAATGTGCACTGAGCTTGCCTGTTTCTCCCAGACAGGTGAGTAGAGCTGTTTTAATTCAGCCAGTTACATGCAGGAAAATTTGGGTTGGCAGCCATGGTGACCAGTTATGGGGACAGAGCTACTCTGTCCACCCCTCCAACTCCAGCTATCTGTTTCTTAGATTTGAACCATTTTACCATCATGACCATGTTGTATTACAAATTGCAAAGTATAAAATGAATGGTCATTTAAATGCAGTGGTTGTACACTTGAACAATATTTTTAAGTACACTTAAGCAGGGTTGAAATGTTACATATATAATACTGCAAATATTATTGTGTATTACAGGTAAAATACTTGAATATTAGAGGTATATGACATGGAATATTAAACATGTATTTAAGTACACCTTAGTAAATACTTAAAGTACATATATTAGTATACTGAACCAGTATCGCAAGAGTATTTGAATGATTCAGGAAGTATACTTGACTGTATTTGTAAATATACTAATTATATACTGGGACTATATAACTGTATATGCGTATAATAAAGAGCACACTGCTAGTATTACAAACATGTTTAGCATAGTTTTGATATATTTTTAGAGTTACGTTTGGCACCACAGACTAGTATACTTAAATTATATCTTAAAACTGGCAAAAACAACACATGACTGCTATACCCAGTATAGATTAAGCATGACTCAAATATATATCAAGTACACATTAGTAGTGATGTGGTACAAAATAGTGGTTCCAAAATAACATAACTTCAGTATATAATTTGGTTATCACTACTTTAGCATACTATTTTTTCACAAGGGTTACTCGGTTTTGAGCAACTGCATCAACACTGTATACCTGTTACAGCATTAAACAGCCATGCACATATGCATACACACTATGTGCCTAATCTCACTGAGGGCCAAATGAGTTATGAGCACAGACACAGCACAAAATACACCTTCATGCCTTTGCAATAAGTGGTCATAACACAACTGAATTTAATATTGGATTTAAAAAGGCTGCAGCATATCACACAAACTATGCAAAGCCCTGCCCAATAACTGCCCACTCTTAAAGTGCATGGTTTTAAGGGAGCAAAAAAAGAAAATGCAACCTCAGTAATGAGTAGTGTGAATAATAAGAGTGAAGTTCTTTCCCATCCAAACATAAATTTACTGATATTGGAGAAGGTGGAGAAAAGTTGACGCAAAAAACTGGCCACCACAGGTTGCTCAGTTCGGGTTTGTCTGTTTACCTTTCTTTCACGTTATCTTCCCAGGTGTGCCCCCCCCCCACCTCCCCCAAAAAATGCATTTGCATGAGGAAGGAAAGTGTATTCTGCATTTTTCCATGCACGTCACCCATAAAATGCACAGTTAGGCTTGTGTAGCAGTTTTGTATATAACACACGGGCAAAATGCATCTGTTTTGTGACTGACACTGACGCAAAAAACTCAGTTCATCAGGCCCTCAGTATGTTAAACTCTTCAATGAATATTGTGATACTGTATATTATGTAAGTTAGGAAAAGTTGTTTTTTTTACCTTCCTTTGACTCATGACTCTCCTGAGAGTCTGCAGGCACAAAATACACACACACACACACACACACACACACACACACACACACACACACACACACACACAGCTTTCATTAGTGCTGCAAAGAGAGTCTGTGTGTGTATGTCTTTGAAGCAGTGTGTGTGTGAGTGAACCAGCAAGTGTGTGTGAAAGATGCCACTTTGTTGAGGAGTTTACAAACCATAGCAAGCAGCAATCATCACAACGGCACACACCATTGCACACTGAAGAACTGCCTGCATGGTCCTCATGGTACTGCTGCCTACAAAAGCAAACACACAAACACTAAGAGAACACAAACACACATACACTTATATAAAACGGATTGAAATGATGTTATTTCCCTCCTGATGAGGTACAGTAAATTCAGATTACTCCAGAATAAACTGCTTATTAGCTACCAGCATCCAAGTACTGCATGCTGGGATTGAAAAAGAAGCAGGGAGCCGGGTAGTAATTGGTTTTGCAAGTTCTTAGTAGTCCTGACTGGTTGTTGTTTTTACTAAAACACTTTCCTAAAAAGACTGTAAATCTGTTTACATGTTGCATTAACATGTGTCTGGATAATATCTGGATAAACTTTGGCCAGATTACATTTGCACATTTCACTAAAATGCATCCTGATGAACCAGCAATGATGTTCCTGGTCCTGAATTCTATCATCATTGGTAGTAACTGAAATGTTGATTTAATTGATTGGCTACTCAGATGGCCTACCAGTGGTCTGGAGCTGGTATAGGGTATAGGGGAATGGGATAGGAGATAGGGTTTATGAGTTAGGGGATATAGAATACAGTTTAGGTTAAAGGATAGGGTATATGAGTAAACACTGATGTTACGGGATAGGACATAGAGCAGTATTTCTCAGTCTATTCCTTGGGTCCCACTTGACGGTTCTGTATTTTTGCTCTATCCCAGTTCTCAATACACTGGGTTAGAGCAAAACATTGTATCCATCTGGTTGGGTAAAGGAATAGAGCATGTACTTATGGTTAGGTATTTAGGGATTAGGGGATACATCTTCAGGGGATAAGAGATACAGTTAAGGTTCAGGGATATGGCTCAGGGAATACAGGAGAATTGGTACTGCAGCATAGAGGATGGGGTTTGGCTGACTCTAAGGCTGGGTAATGACCAACCAATCATAAGTGCTCTAGCGCCTGATTCAGGTTCTACTGTGGAAATGTAATCATGAAAACGGTGTAATCAATTTTTCTACTTAGTTTTTTTTTTATTATTAAAACATTAGCATAAAAACAAACCATAGGATATTCCAGCCATTTAAATACATTTTGTTTACACTGTTTGAATTGCTTGAAATGTATAAACTTCTCTGATTATTGGAGGAGGCTGTGAGCCCTTTAGCTGTCTGCTGCCAGTGTCAGCTTTCTATAGCAAGGGAGGAAAAAAGTCCAGTTACAAAGAATACATAATAAAAACCAGAGCCCATTTTTTTCAAAAGCATATTAGGGTTAAAATTAAGATCTTCACTGGTACAGAGAGTGTTCAGTGTGATGCTTTCTCTATCATCTGAGAATCGTCTGTTTTAAGATGCTTCCAGAAAGCTGAGCCCAGTCAGGCACCCTGCTTGCAGGACTAACTGCTGATTAACTGCTGTCAAATTTTTCACCTGGTTGCATTTCATACAATCAGTAGTAGACAATTAATAGAACAAAATAAAGACAATGATTGTATGATGACATTCCTTTGCTAGCCATACTTACATACAAGCTTTGCTCAGCTGCAGTGATAGCTGCAAAAATGTTCTAGAAAATCTCTGACATTTTATGATCGATATTCTGTTCACAGTAGGTTGTTTCGCACATATGTTGAAAGCCAAGCTGAGCAACTCAGTTTGCTAGTTTTGCATTTGATAACTTAAAAAAGCAGTAACTCATGCACTGTACATGCATCATTTTTCTGTACTTAAGCTCATGCGTAATCCCTATGGGGGTTAGGGAATGGGTAATAGGGGTTTAAAGGATAAAGTCTTATAAGCGTCAACATTTCTTACAAATCAGTGTTTTCTGAAGCTGAGAGTTAAGGTTACTGCAAGATACAGGGCATGGGGTTAGGGGTCAGCAGTGTGACCTTGCAAACATGCACACTAACCCTTAACACAGATGTGTCAAATCTATCAAACAAGATTAAACGTTATTATGAACACACTGCCCTGCTATTTAGTGATGAAGAGGAGTGTGTGTGTGCAGTTTCCTACCTGCGTGTTTTCTCCCTTATCTCTCAGTGTTCCTCCTGGTTTCTGTGAATAATCTCTAATAGAAAAACGACAAGCCTTTATAAACCCTTCTATCGCCCACCCCTCACACACCCTCTCCCTCTCTCTCTCTCACTCACACACACTCATACATTTTCTCCTTCTATCTGCCTTTACACCTTCTGGGTCACACCAGACTATTAGCTCATTCTCTCCTTCACTCACACACTTCCTCTGTAAATTCTTACACACTCCCAGAAAAACAGATGAAGCAGAATAACAACCAAGCAGAGGGAGAGAGACACATGTATAAACAGACAAGGTAGAGAAACAGATGTTTCTCAATGTGTATACTTACACAGAGCAAGTACATCAATTGAAATCTCTCACTTTACTAGTGTAGTATCTGGAGTTCCATGTGTTATCTGTTTTTGCAGGTTTGGAATGTTTAAGTTAGGGGGCCCCTGGTCCAAAGGTCCAAGGGAAGGTCCCATAAGGAACGGGCCCCTCTCTTTTCCTCTCCCTTCCTCTCTTAGTTCCAGATAGATGAGATCATTTTAAAAAGGACCATATGTTCTGTTCCCTTTTTCGACAACAACCACTCTATATAAGCAGTTGGATATACTGTTCTGGAGGGGACACTTCAGAATTGGCACGGATCCCCTCTCAGGTACTTTATGGTGCTTGATATGTTACTGTTTTACTTTGTTATAAACATCTTATACAAGCATGACGGTGTCAGCGGAGACTTCTTCATCATCTTCACATCATCACTATTTAATAAACAACAAGAATTTGGCGTCACGAACAGGATTGCGGACAAGAATTTGGCATCACGAATTCTGGACATGTTGTGGCTTGCTGCGTTGCCGACAGCCTTAGCGCACTTACTCCTGCACCTAGCTGGCGAATAAGGTGAGCGTTTCTCACATGATTGGGCGCTGGTTCATTCGTTGGGGCTGTTGTGTGTTTGCTGTCTAGTCGCACCATAAAAGAATCATGTGTGTGTGCATGTCATGCTGTGTTCATGTTTGGAGTGCTTCTCCGTTCTAAATTTGGTTTTATTGCATTGTAAACGCTCGAATAAGGGGGAGTATAATAGGGAAAAGGAAAGCTGATGTAAAAGTGTAGAATAGCCTAATTAGTGACGAAAAGGTGAGCTAAATAACACCTTGCGAGATTAATGAAGGTTGGGCCCTTATCTTCTTAATGGTAGGACATGTGTATATTAGTCACTGCGTGAAAGTTGGCTTGGAGAACTGGTCAGATCAGGTTAAAAAGGAAAAAAAAGTGAAAAGTAACAGCCCGGGGCCCTGGGAAATGAGATTAATGGGAAAAAAGAGGCAAGAAAATAGAGAAGATAAGAGTTAAAGAGAAATAAGACAGGTTAAAGAAAATAGAGAAGATAAGAGTTAAAGAAAAAGAAGCTGCAGATTTGGACCAAAGCCCTCTGGGAGGCGGTTTTAGACGGGCCTAAAATACTGGAAAATCACTAGGTGAATTTCGGGTCAGTTCGAACGGGAAGTGTGGAATGGAAAATTCAATTGTAAAGTTCTCACTCAAACACTAGTTGACGAACAGTGTCTAAAGCAGCTTTTTATTGAATATTCACACCTCATAAAGGTAGCATAAATTTAGAAGAAAAAGAGAAAAAGGAGCGGCAGAAAAAAGCATGCTATAGGATAAGTTTGAATGAGTTGACTTTGAGCATTTAGGATCGGATGTTGATTTTGTTAAAACTTATGAGCCTTTTCTTTGGGGGACATTTTTGGATCTGATAAGACTCATGAGCCTCAGGAAAGAGGACTTTATGAATTTACATAAGACTTATGAGCCTCTTTTGGGGGACTTTGATAAGATTTATGAGCCTCTTTCAAGGGGACTTTTTGAATTGGTTAAATAGTATGAGCCCCCAAGAAGGACGTTTATGATTTTGAAGAGAAGTGGAGAGACCAGTGAGGATATTTTGTGTGCATGGGTAAAGAAAAATTTTATAAGTATTTAAGGTGTTATTAGAGTGAAGTAAACTAAAATTTCTTTATTGATGATAACTGGGTATTTAAAGGAGGAAAACATTTGTTATAGATAAAAATGACTTAAGTGTTGGCAGATAATGGGTGTAAATCATATTGAATTGCTTATTGTGTTGTTAAAAATACCTAGTGGGTTCATTTGATATTTAATTCTGATCTGTTTCTTCCTTTATCCACCTATGGTGTGTTAGAATTGGAGAGGAGAAAGAGGGAGAAATAAAAAAGATAGAGAGAAGAAGAAACAGAAAAAGAGAAGAATAACAGAAAGAGGGGGAAAAGAAAATGATGAGAGAAGGAGAAAGACAGAGAAAGAGACCGAAAGACAGAAAGAGAGAGAGAGAGAGAGAGAGAGAGAGCGAGAGAGAGAGAGAGAGAGAGAGAGAGAGAGAGGAGGCAGCTGGTCAGTGCTGACACGGATTGAGGTCTGATGATTCAGGAGGCACAGGGGTTAGTTCATGTTGCAAGGGGGGAAGTTAGGAGAAAGATTACAAAGGAGTACATACATTTCTGAAGGCAAAGGAAAGAGGAAGTGCAGGCAAGGCTCAATGAGCAAAAGAGGAGCACAGTGCAACCTCGAGACAAGGTGTTCATTAAGGTGTTTAGAAGGAGGTGGTAATAGTCCTGCTATGTGGAAAAATAGTTGTGGTGAAGATGTGTTGTTAACAGGACCTGAAGTTGATACGGTGCCTCGTGATCAGAGGAAGTATCTGTTGTTTAATGACAGGAGCTGGTTGAAAGTTAGGGATGATTGTTCACTTGTTGTGCATAATGTTACATGGGAAGACCAAGGGGAATATACATGTACTTATTTAGAGCCAGAGTTTAAATTTGTTCCATTTCAAAATGTGTGGAGAGAGGGTTATATAACTTGTAAGGTAGTAGTTATGATAGAAGATTTGAGTTCTGCTGGAGTTTTCATGGTTGCTAAAAGGGTTCAGGAATGATTCACCACAGCAACCACTCCAAGGGTGAATATTGCATCAATGAAGCTTACTACTTTAGCTCCGGAAACAACTAAGAGCGTTAATACATAAATCCAGGCTATTACTTTAGCTACGACTTTGAAGGGGATGAAGGCTACTACAAGGATGGTGACAATTTCTACCTTTGTCACTTCTGGAAATATTACAAGTGAGGCTGGGCCAAGGGCAACCTTTGCCAATAAAACAGTGATGACATTTTTTTCACCTACGAAATTTATAAATGTGACACAGACACCTGATATGACATCTTTGAACTTTAAAGGAGTAGAAAATATAACCCACAAACCTACCCAGACAGCAAGCATGTTCGGGCCGGATTACCTTGGCCGTCACAAAGTCCTCCTAGCAGTCGCATCTGCATTGCAGACTTGTGCCACATTTGGGCCAAGTAACTGTTAACAGCACTGGACACACCGCCGGTCAGCAGACTCAGAGCGCATTGGGGCCGATCTTTAAAACAGACGCGCCTCATTTAAAAATTGTGCCTCATTTAAAATTTGCCCCTCCCCTTTTTTCCCTTCTGCAGTTGTCAGTTGACTTTGACTGTAAAACTTGCTGCTGCTTTTGAGGTAAGGTGTATTTTGTATTTTAAATATTTGCACATTTATTAGAATTACAATAAGGTATCTTGGATTTTATGTTTTAACTTTTAATTTGTTATTCAATGACAAGCAAATAAGCTGAGTTTTGTGGAGTTGCTAGAGGGGATGACGTCAGTGCTAGCTAACCTAGTTATGTTAGCTGAGGTAGTGAGTCAAAATGTCTAATTCCAACCTAAATTAACATTCGAGATTTCTCTTTAATTATGTTTAATAACGACATACTCTTAATCTTACATTATCTCCCTCGCCCGGCTGTGTAACAAGCTAGCTTAGCTGGGTTGTACTATGAGAGGCAACTGTTAGCATTCATTGGAAAATGTGAAAATGTTCTAAGAGCAGCTTTAATATTTCTGCCTGTTTTAGGAAAAAAGAAACAAGTCTAAAGAAAACAGAGAAATGAATGAGTGACTAATGTAAGAAACATCCATTAGCTGGAATCTAAAGTTACCCTATATTGTGGTGTGTGGAGCTAGCCAGCTAACGTTAGCTAACTAAGCTGTATTAGCCAGTGCAAGCACTAACATTAGTTTAACCATCTTATTTTTTATTTGCTTTTTTGTAGTGTCGGATTTTACTATTTTTTACTTAAAGAAATGGTAGGTTAACGTTACTTTTAATTTTTTTTTTCTTTAAACTGCTGAAATAACATAAACCAGTAACAGAATCCTCGTATTTGGTTAAAAGTGTGTAAAATAACCCTCAGAAACAGAACGGGTTTCCCTTTGCTTAATCTTTTATTAGACGAAGCTTCAGCTCTCACACTGCTGCTCCCGCGGCCGCTTCAGACTCAGGGTCAGTCTCAAAATTATGGAAAGAAAGTGTTTCTGCTATCATTACTAGCATTATTATTGTTGTCTTTGTATGTACATCTGCTGATATGTTCAGAAGCATCAGAAGAGCTATTTACAGAGATACTAAAGCTATTACTACTAGTAATAATAATAATAATAATAGCTTCACTTGTTTCATCTTGTAATTTTGAGACGATCTCTGACTCTGAATCCGGCGCGGACAAGCACAGTGATAGCGTGAGTTGAACCTTTTGGCAAAAATAAAACAATAGAAAAAAGAACAAGAAAAGAATGGCGCAGTTCAGTATAAACTGGGTTTGTTGTGTTTGTCGTCTTTAATTTGTCCATGAAAGTGTAATTAATCCAGTAACACAGAACGTAACTGCGAATGTCACACGAACTTTACCGTCCGATGTGGTGTGTGTAGCCTGATTGTGTGAAAGCTGAGACATGGCCGTGGTGGTCTGAGGTGGTCCTAAAACGGTCACAGTAACGCAGCCGTTTTTTTAAACATACGTGCAGCTGCCTGCAGCACCGAGCGCGTCTAACTATCGCAGCTCGGTCATGTTGACGTGTCGGAATACTGTTTCATGCTATGGTTTGCATTAAATAAATCAATAAAGAACGTGTTTACCGTCATTATGGGCTGTTACTGCGGTAGCTCGGTAACTCTTACCGGGCACAGGCCAAGGCCCGATA